TTTGGAGGGTTGACCCATTTACCCTCCAGCCCAAATGGAGGGGCGGCCCATTTACCCCCGACGAACGTCCAGGTGGGATAATGGTGAATCGGTAAACACAGTGGCGACAAGCGTCTCAACCAAAGGCCCGCAGCCACACGATGCCCAAGGGCCAGGATACGAACGGCCCACAACCCTTTGCGGTATCGTCAGGAGCAGGCCCCCCCACCCAGATGGACGTCCGTCTCCACAAGTTAGGCGGAAAACCCAGATTCTGGCGGGAAGCGCATTTAATGCTGGAGATTTGGTGGTTGAGACATCAGCCACACACAGCCCTCCACGTCAGCATAGCCAACTACTCATAGGTTGTATAAATAGCAGCATTTATTTCATTGTAAAGGGTTGACAACTTACTATTCTTAGCACTCTAGCTTATTACCTTATCACTAGCAGCTCTTCTACTGTGGGATAAGACGAACGGCCGACGAGCCTTAACAAGCGCATTGTATCGGGGAGTTATTAATTGGTTAATAATACCTGATCTTTTACTTGCTAGTTATTATCTCTTGATCCATCTTACTTGTTTGTTGGGCTAGTTTATCCATACACATATACACCACTCCACTCGAGATCTTTGGGGCTTACGTGTTGGACCCAAAGATTGAAGGAATAAACCTCAACAGAGAGGATTAGGTGGGGGCTTAATAGTTGTCAATTGGGTAGGTTGAGGCTGTGTTGTTGGAAGGCCATCTGGCTGGATAATGAGTGAAGTGGAATGAGTATGGTAGATTCGGGTTGTGTGAGTGGCGTGTTTGAGATGGTCAGGCAGTCAAGTTTGGGGGGATGCGTGTTTTGTGGGGGCAAAGAGATAGGGTCTCGGTTGTGAGTGATTTGGAGGGTAAGGGGTGGGGTTAACTTAGTAATAAAAGGCTCTTTAACTTTATTACAAGTGGAATGACCCAGTAAAAAACATGATGAACAGTGTGGTTCAATGAAATCATAATTAACCTGTTTGGATCTAGATTTTTTGAATCTGTTCCACTGTAACATCAAGCTCCACGCAGAGTGGCTTGGATCGGTTGGCCGTATCCTTGTCCAGTAGCATCGGTTTTCCAATGAGGTTTGCTATGGAGAGCAGTGCTCTTCTATCCTGTAGATGGACTGGGAGTCCAGGGAGGGTGATCTAGATAGACGTTATTGGAGATTCCTTACTTGGTTGGAAGTTTGTAGTCCATTCTTGATTCTTAGCTTGAGACCAGATATAATCCATATCTGTCTCATCCAGAAAATCATCTTCCCTGTCAAAGTTGATTAGGAGGCATTGGTCCTAACTTATACCTCCCTTTAAAATGGAATTTCTCAAAAGTGCTTCTAACGGATGCAAGCTTTGGTATTTCATGGAGAAAGGTCCCAATCAGTGCATAGGTTAGAGGTTTTGATAGGGTTGCGATTTCCTCATTGGAGAAAGAGACCGCCGGGAGACCGAATATGGTTAGCTGTTCCTTCAAAAGCAAGGGTGGGCTGTTTTGAGTGAGGGTATCAGCAAAAGTTCTGGGTGTGGTATCAGGATTTTTAGTGGGGTAAGGGATTAAAGTTGGGGGAGATTTGAGGTTTGGGTTACTGGACAGTCCATTGGTTTGCATGTTCCAGTAGGATTGGTTGTGCGCTGCTTCTTTCTGGACTGCCGCCATTCCCGGAGTTGCGGTCAAGAGTCAAGACTGCATGCAGAATAAGAGGGCTTTTGCGGTGGTGCTGGTACTTGTGCTGTTAACTCCAGTGGTCATGACCGGTCGCTGCTGTGGTGCTGCTGGTTCCTGTGCTTTTCATCCCGCTGGTCATAGGTGGTGGCTGGTGGCGGGAGGGGGTGGTTGGGTTAGAGAGAATCAGAGAAGTGGGAGCATCTCTCTCCTATTTTTTGTCAAGATCTCTGATTTTGCAATAATGTCTAAAAAATGATAATGACATGTGTCTAGTTAGTTAGAGCTAACTTTGACTAAGCTATGATCAACATATAGCATCTTATGTACTAGTGAGTAGTGTTTGGTAAAATAAGTGCTTTATGTGTAATAGAAAAAGTAAAAGCACTTTTGACGCGGAAGCCGAGAAAAATAAAAGTTGTAGTGTTTGGGAAAATAAGTGTTTTTTTAAAATCAAAAGCAGAGAAGTGATTTTTTAAAAGTAGTTACAAACCAACCCTTATGCGTGCCATTCTTTCACATGACTTCACATGCTGACTTCAGCTTTAAGGAAATTATTACTCCGTGTTAATTAAAATTAGTAGCTAAATCGAACCAAATGTTGTTCCAAGACGATCGATTCCCGTAGGGGTGGGTGCGGCCTGGAACGGTCCGGTAAATTAGTAAAACCCGTAATGTATCCGTGAGATTTTTAACGGACCGGTACGGTCCGGTTTCAAGGATGGAATTGTTCGATACCATGTCGTTTCGAAACGGTACGGTACAATGCCAAACACATGCTATAAAACTTGAACAAATTTTGCAATTAGTAGATATCATCACACCAACCAACTGACATTAAAATTTGATACAAATACAAGAAATTGCATATATATGACTAAAATTCACAAATAAACAAATAGTGCAACACAACTAAGAAAGAGTATAGCAAAACGATAATACACGAGATAAATATCATCCTTAATTTACTTAGTTCATGTGAAAATATCATCCTTAATTTACTTAGTTCATGTAAAAAGAATATCATCAAATTGTTGAATATAATAGAAATCTTCAATGGTCTTCTTCATTCTAGGTTAAATATTACTCCGTAGTTCTAATTTAATTTATAGTTGAACCTTGAGAGCTAAGATTTAAACCATATTAATTAAGTTGTAAAATTGCACAAACATGATAGACCAAAAAGTCATGTGCGCTAACATTACTAAAAATGAAGTCATCAATGATTTCTCTAAAATTTTAATATTCTTTCAATACATACCAAAATATAACATAAATTATCTAAAACGAAAAAATAACAATATATACTATATATAAAACACACACATTTAACTATTTTATGGACACATAAATACATACTTGGGCTATAAAATTGTTGATCTATAAAAGAGATCTATTGGATTGGTATATAAAAAATATTAAAAATTAAGTGCATTATTTTCAAACGGTTCGATCCGGTATTTTTTGGTTCTCAAAATCTAGGACCGGTCCCGTACACGTTTCAAACGGTACGGTTTCGGTACGGGACAAAAATATATAGAACCATTTAAATACTCGATATTCGGTTCGGTACCTGATGGAGTATATGGCCCAGGAACCCCCGACCCATAGACTCCTACTTCTCCTACACAAGTCCATTGAGCCCAGAGAACAACTCAGGCCCAAATGCAACGGCCCAAGCCTCAAAGTAGCCCAGAATACACACTGGGGTGCCTTCGGCCTCTTTGGCCGAAGGCTCCAAACCTCACAGGATAGCCTTCTCTGGCATAAGAAGCTACTGGGAGAAAACGGCGAAAAACATGAGCCTTCGGCATTATCAAGCCCTCGGCATCAGAGAAGCCTCCGGCTGAACCAAGCCTTCGGTCACACAGGGCCTTCGGCTATACAGGGTCCTCGGTCACATGGGGCCCTCAGCTACAAAAGGAGCCTTCGGCCAAACACGCTCAATCCTCGAAGATTCCTTTTAGAGACAGCCAACCACCGCATTTAATGCCACGTCACATCCGCCAGCCGCATTCAATGCGGTGGACGTACCACTGCCGGTGCCAACCGGCTGATGTGACCCTTCGGCCGTTGGATTACTGACACGTGTACTCTCATCGCATTTATTGCTGCTATAAATAGCAGCCCATTTCTCATTGTAAAGGATCCACATCCAACTTTCACACGCAGAGTTCATTTAATAAATCGACTCTCTCTCCTCCTATTTTGCTCTGACTTCTCTCTAGTTATTCCCGCAATAACCCCCCGGATAATATACCCCCCGGGTAGACCATCCATCAGTACCATTACAGGATGGTTCGGGTTTTATGCCCACCCCTAGATTCCGGGACTCCATATGTTAAAACCGTACCCGACTGGGACCGGATCCATCCCTATCTACACATCCTTCTGGTTGTAGATTTACTTGGTGACCTTACTCTATAATTGAAGAAAAGAAAACACTTGAAAGTCTTTGGAACCTTGCAAGGATCCTTGCGTTTTGAGTTGTATTGTTTTGCAACATTTGTTGCATTAAGTTATTCACACAAAAACAAAAACACCTATAAAAATGAAAATAGAAGTACTACAAGTAGGGATGGACTGAGACGGGTCGGGGTAGGGGAGGACTCGGGCCGGGTGGCCCGGTCAGTGACCAGTTCGAGTAGGCCCGACCCGCTGGGATTCCGGTCCGGGCTCGGGCCCCTCAAAACGTGAACCGGCCCGGCCGGTTAGGGCCCGGTTCGGGCAATTTTATTTTATTTTTCTTTTCTTTTTGAATTTTTTTTAAGTTTTGGGGTTGGGCGGGGTATTTTGTGTCATTTGAGATGGTTTGGGAGTGAGGGGGGGTTAGGGGTTAATTAGGAAAAGGCAAAATAATATGAATCGAGGCCGAAACGGCCCGGCCCGGACCCGGGGGTTACCCAGGCCGGTTCCGGACTTCCGGGCCTCTCCTTTCCTGAACCGAGGCCCGGCCAGGCCCAGACCCGAACCGGTCCGAGTCCACCCCTAGGTCGGGGCCAAAATATATTTTTTTAATTTTTTTGAGATTGGGCCGCTGCTAGGTGAGTTGGGCTCGATGTTTTGGCAGGATTTGGGGGTGGGGGTAGGAATAAATTAGAAAAGACTAATTTAAAAAAAAAATTGACCCGACCCAAGCCCGGTCCCAATTCAAACCCCGGGCCGGTACCGGGCCTTCAGCCCAAATCCCCAATCCCGTCCAATCCAGGCCCGGTCCATGCCTAAGTAGAGGGAAAAAGAGAGAAAATAACGTACTAAAAATGAAAAGAAAAATAAAAGAAAGATCCTTCCGGGTTAAAAAAAATAAATAAAAGAAAGATGCGCACAAAATTCAATGAAGTATTTCATTCCTTGCAGCACTCTCCAACAACATACTAGTGAAACCAATCTTTAGAGTAAGAATTTAAGCCTGCCGTTGAGAATTTTACAAGTGTTCCAATGGTGTTGCTATTGTACACAATGCCGACTTACATGTTTTCGTCGACAAAAGATAAGAGTGGAAAAAATAGAGTTACGGTACACATGCCAATTTACAATGAATACTTTGGTAGACCAATCCACAGTGAGTTTAACAGAAATAAAATGAGTGAGAAGGTCTCATCCATGATGATCTTTCCTCTCCCTCATGTACGCTTGAAAGAGATCAACTCCCAGAGACACATTAAGCAAATTCATACCGGCCATGCCAGCAAGAGCAAGTGGGAGCTCCAACCCCTTGTCAAACTTGGAAGCATCTTTGAGAAGCTTCACTGTTATGAGAACATGAGATGCAAACCTTGCTAACACATAAGTTGTCCAGTTAGCACACCACTCAACATTCACAACTATGTTTCTAGAAGTACCTCGGACATGTCTCGCCATTCGCCTCAATTTCCGCAAATGCAAAAGGACGGAATGCAACTGTGTTATAAAAGATGGAGAGACGGGAATAATGATGTGAAAACCTCAATGAAAATCCACATTTGATTGTTCACATTCTGATACAACATTTTTTCTTTGATGTTATTTTATTAAATAATCTTGTAGAAGGGGTAATACATTATGACAACTAATTTCATAAAAATAACACAATAGGCTGTGTAAATAAATGGGGCTGCGAGTGGTATGGGGGTCTTTGATGTTAGGGCTGCACAAAAGGGTCTTTGAAAATAATATTATTAAAGTTAAAATTGGCTTAAATCAGTTTGTTTTACGTCTCTACAATTTTTATTTCGTTTTTCATCCTCACTTATTTTCTTTATATTTAAGCCCCCTCACCGATTCTAACAACTTATGCCAGACAACAAAACAACTCTGAATAATAGATTTCCTATACACACTACTACACCCATCCTGACAACTTCCACATATCCTAACAACTTCCATACCATCGCCATAGACCAAATCAAGTGAACTGATGCTTGGCCACGGGAGAATATGTATCAGTATAATCAAATCCACAAATGTGGATAGGGTTGCACATGGGGCGGGTTGGCCGTACTATTTGGGCATACCCGTTCGACTCAAGTTAATTGCTGAACAGCTGCAAGTATGCAATTTAAATGAATAACCCGTATATGAGTGGGTCAGGTAGGGTCAAGTATAGAATAAATAATTTACCTCGGGTTATTATACAGTCAAATTTAGATTTGAACAACCTATTACTCACATTTTCCATAGCGTATTCCATAGCATATCAAATAACCCACTAATGCAGTCAAATTTAGACTTGAACAACCTATTACTCAAATTCACAATGGCATATCAAATACACAATTAAACTTTTTATAAGTCTAAACTTTGTGTAATAACATCAAATCATCCTTTTGGGAAGTTCTTTTATAAACAAAATGTAACAAATCAACTAGAAAAATGGTATATATTTATAACTCAATTTTTTAGGTAGAGTATAACATTCTTAAGCTATAATTACTCCAAACAAAATACAGTAGCAAAGTAATAAGAAAATAAAGAGGGAAAATATTTCCAGCTTCCAAGGGTGAAAGCTAAACAGAATGACACTGAAGAGTAGCAAAGGTACCTTTATGTAAGTCTAGTCAGGCAACGTCGATTTTTAAGCTCCTACTTCCGCAACTCTACCCATTATGTGTGGGTTTACAAAAATTAAACTCTTTTTATTTTTTGAGCCAAATAACCAACTAAGGGGCTGTTTACTTAGGACTTAATGGACTTAATGGGCTTAATGACTTAACCATTAATTCATTAAGTTGTGTTTATTTGGAACTTAATCAAATCCGTGACTTATTCGCGCAGACGTAAGACGACTTATTCGCTCAGCAAAAAAAATTGGCTCCTCCAGCTTCAGACACGGGAACAGACCGATTTCCATCGTTTAACCCTAGATAATAGTTTCTTTTATCAAACTTCCAACAACGAAAGAGAGCAAGGTCCGAGGTCGTCTTCTCCAGCCAAGAGAGCAAGGTCTGTGGTCGTCTTCTCCAGCGGGCATATTCATCGCTGCCGGATCTGTATCTTCACTACGGTATTTTTCTACATAATTTCTACAATTGTTAATTTTTTAAATTTCATACTTTTTATATGAATTTCCAATCTCTTATTATGAGCTCTACTCCATCGATTTGAACCAAAAGTGAACTCTCAACTAATCCATTTGCTGACTTTCATACTTTGCTCAATTTAATTGGAAAAGAAATCATGGAGTAGCACAGACAAGCACTCATCTCAAATATTCATTTTACATTGGCCGTGAATTGCAAGATGAAATCAGGCCATTGAAATTGGTGCTTACATTACTTGGTCGTGAAGTAGAATCTTATTTCACACTTTTGTTTAAGAAAGAAGGTCTTTGATTTTTAGGACTTTTATTTGGGAAAATTTGTCTTCCATTTTTGGGGTAAAATTATATGAATCATGAAGCACTTCCTTGATTTTTCAAGCACTCTTGTGGATTGGCATAAAAGTTGTCCTCTTTCTTTGGTTTCCCCGGAATCATAGACTGTGGTTTGGATTTCTTGTTTCTGTGAGTTTTCTTCATTACCAGTCTTGTATGGTCTTTTAAGCGAACTATAACTTTCCTGTGTAGTAGAATAGTCTTCCTGAAATCTAAGTACCTGAAGGGTGAAGTAATGTTTGAACAGGCAAGGAAAACAGAACACTTCCGGTAATGGACTTCACTAAGCAAAACATCTTGTTTTCAATGATTAAATGACATTATATTTATATATCTTCCGGTAATGGACTTCACCCCCGGGTTAGACGGCACAACATTGAGAGTTAGATTGCACTCTAACAGCTACTGAGCTACATTATAATATTTCCTGGATATTATACACTAAAGTCCTTGGAGGAGTCTGTGACTTATTTAATTATTAATTGTGATTTCTACTTGCAAAATTTATAGAAATTAGGTGTTTGATTACTTAGATTGGACTGAAAATATGGTTTTTTAAAAAAAATATTTATATGATTAACACTTTTTACAGGGTTTTTACATTTGTTAGCAGTAAGTTTACAAATTGTAGTAGCTTTGATGCAATATGTTGGCATATACTACATATTAAACGGTTTTACAGTTTTTTTTTTGCATGTGTGTGAAGCTTATTTTCTAACTCTCTTGAGTTATGCTTTCCATCTTTAGCATCATTACAGATAAATATTATCTATGTGATGCTGCATATGCAAACACGCGTGGATTCTTGGCTCCATATCGTAACACAAGGTATTGGTTAGCTGATTATCGACGTCGTCGTGCATTGACTAAAGAAGAAAAATTCAATCATGCACATGCACAACTTCGGAATGTGATTGAACGTACTTATGGTGTCTTGAAAGCAAGATTCCCAATCTTAGAACAAATGGCTCCTTATCCATTTGCGGTACAAAGGAATGTAGTGATTGCTTGTTTTGCGGTTCACAATTTTATTAGAAAAGCTAACATTGATGATGAGTTCTTCGATGAATGGGATAATAACAATGTAATCAACAATCAAGCACAAGAGCAAGTTGAAGACATTGGAGAGGAAGTAGATGGAGCACAATGGGGTACACAAAGTCTACAATATATGGCGAATGTGAGGGATGAAATTGCTAGTAGACTAGTATGAAATGTTTTAATTTAAAATGTTATTCTCGTAAAACTCTTGACTTTATTTTATCATGCAATATGACTCTTTTATTTTTAGTAATTCATAAACTCTTGACTTTATTTTATCATGCAATATGACTCTTTTATTTTTTGTATTATTATTTTCTGGTATATAAATTTTATCTTTCAGAACAAAGAAAATAAACAGAAAATATACATTCAGCACTTATTACAGACAAGAGAGTTATTTGGTCATTAGACATGATTCAGACTTCTCATTCAGCACACTTAGTAAACAACTTGTTATCTCAGTGTAACTTAATCCAGACAGACAACTTAATGCAGACAGACGTCTTAATCCATTCAGGACTTAATGAGAAAAAAAGTAAACATCCCCTAAATGTGGTCGGGTAGGGTTGGGTTGATCGGGTTATACGAGTTGGGCTATTTTGTGCAGCCCTATGATATGAGATGTGCTTTAAAACGGTCAAATTCTATTAGGGCCAACCTTAACAGTATATACCCACCAACGACAACAGATTTTTCAGTAGGCAGTGGAACTTATTCTCACGTCCCACTAGAATATAGACTGTAGAGCCTCCATATCAGTCAACTATAGTGTCACTCTGAATGTGACAGTGTTAAAGCATTTGTCCCACACCGGAAAGCTATAAAATAATAAAAACATTATATAAGGCTTTGGGCTACTCCTCCTATAAGGTTGACATTTTAGGATGGAACCCCGGGTCTTAACTAGGGTTGTAAACGAATCGAATAATTTTGATCCGATTTGTTATTTGAATTCGAAATTGATGATTCGAATTCGAAAAAATCGAATACGAATACAAATCGGTTTTGTTATTCGTATAAATTTCGAATACGAATACGAATATACCTATTTTCGATTCGTATGTTATACGAATATATTTGATTTGTATACACATGAATTATATTTTAGATTTTTATATTTATAATTTATAATAATTTAAATTCAAATAACTAAAATAGTTTTTTGTTAGTTTAAATTTAAATTTAAATTTATTAGTTTAATTAATTTTGTGCTTTCATTAATATTTTTTTTAAGTAATTGATTTTTGATTAATTGATTTTACAATCTTTACTTTATTTTGAACGGGTTTCCAATTGATTTTTGAAGTAGTTGATTTTTTAAAATAGTTCAGTTAATAGAAATGTTTGCGAAAATGGAAGAAAATACATACAAAACATGATAATTTGAATGTGTGAAAAAATTTCCCCTACAAATATTCGAATTCGAATTTTTGAATACAAATATATTTGAATATCATTAACGAATCGAATACGAATCTAATTTAAGATTCGAATAATATCCGAATACGAATACAAATAATCGTCAAGTTATACGGATACGAATAGTATTACTCAGTATTCGATTCGATTCGATTCGTTTACAACCCTAGTCCTAACATGGTATAAAAGCCAATTCCGGTTGTGGTTTGATGGCTTGTTTAGCACCTATGATTAAGGATAGCTTGTTAAGGGTTTGTTTGGTCCACTACTCCACTTATACACCCCAAGTGACTCGCAAGTTGAAAGAAAAGGCAACCTAGGAGGACCTCAACTATATTTCGTAACACTTTTCCTGACTGTGAGCTTGAAGACAAGCTCTTTGAAGATGGGAGTGACGTCAAAGACATGCTCACACGCTACGGGTGGAGCCTACTAACGAGCAAGAAGAAAGCTGGCCAAGCTATCTAAGCTGCTCAAGTCTAGTATCATTTATTTCCTACTACCTCCGTCCCAAAATGTTTAGCCAAATCTTAAAATTTGGACCATGATTTTGATTAGTACTCCCTCCGTCCCAATTTGGTCCCAATTTGATGTTCCCATTTCTTTTGGGCACAAAGATAAAGAAGGATTATGAAATTTCCAAAATTACCCTTATTTCTCTATCATTTCCTTTCATCTGGTCTGCCTCTTTCTTTTCCATTGAGAGATGAGGAACTTCGATGAGAGGCTGTATGATTTACAAAGGGGTCCCCAATATACTTGGGGTTTGGTTATGGGTACGTAATTGGCGTGAACTGTGAAGGCATGTGGGGGTTAGAGTGTGGGATAGATTGGGAGGGAGTTGTATGAGTGGCAGGAGTATGACATGGAAGGTTATTCGGTGAGGATGGGGATAAGGATAAGTCTGACAGAGGGATGTGAGGCTGGGAAAATAGATTCGGAGATGGATGAGGGGAAGTCGGTTGGGATGGGGATAATATTGCGTCCCGACGACGCAGACATGGTTGACCCAGAGTGTTTAAAGGAGATATTGAGAAAATTGAAGTTCGCCGGAAAACCGAGAGGCAACAGTCGCCGACATGCTGATTTGCCGGACGAGGTCGCTGACAGCAAGAGGCAGTGGAAAGTTGGTACGGTGTTGCTACCTTCCGTTGATGGTAAAGTTGTAGATTCAAGATATTGAGAAGATTAAAATTGAAATTGCACACCAATTTATTTGCTAAAAATGGAAAGGGGAAAATCAATTTGGGACATCCCAAAATGGAAATAAGAGAACGTCAAATTGGGACGGAGGGAGTATAATATTATGAAAGTTATAAATTTTATACTTTTATGAAAGTACTTTTAAAAAAGAACATTTTCATACTATTTTTATATTATAAATAATTTCCAGTAAATATATATTATTGGTCAAAGTTTTGGATTTGGCTAATTATTTTGGGACGGAGGTAGTATTATAGTATTTCAATTTACATTAAGTATTCTACTCATTACAGTTTTAATTGTTACAAATGTGGTTGGGAGATGAAGACAATGTTGAAAAGCTATGGCCAATGGTGATTAGAGTAAAAATCCAAACTTCCCACCTTCCTAAAGTAGGCACGGAAAAGGTTGCCCGTACACAATATGTCTAAACGAGAATAATTACTCAGTAAGATGATTTCTTATTTCAATCAATCTTAAAAGAAAAGAGAGCTCTAAAACTATTGCAAACAAAAATGCTAATAGAATTATTTAAATAGAAATGCTAATAGTAGGATATAGATTATGCTAAACCTGGGCACCAATTTAGACATCCTGGCCAGCTTTGTTCTTGGTCATTGGTAGACTACGGTGAAACGAAGAGGTGGGCATGTAGCTAAGTAGTTCATTGATGGCATCCAGATGTCTTAGTTTGACATTACTTGATAGAGAGATGTCACAATAAGTTGATTTCAGGCTTATTAAAAAAAGTTAGAAAATGTTATACTCTAATAGGGATGGATGGAGGGATGGACAGACGGATGAATGTAGAGTTAGCTAGTTGTGTTTTCAACTCTTCCCCATTCATCGTGCGATCAAAACTCAAAACCAATTTGAATCTAAAAAAGTTGTCGGCTATTGTTATTGTTCAATTAAAAAGGAAAAAATAGGCGAAGTTGTTTGAAGAAGAGAACAGCAGAACATTTGGGAAATGGATTCTATCAATTATGGACTAAATACACTCCCTAAGCCTAATAAATTTACAGTATGATAGTAAACAACTGCCTCAAAAACCGACTTAAGGCATATGCCTCAACTATTTGAAGCATAAGACTCTTCATTGCAATTAATTGCAATAGAGGCGTAAGCCTCAAGTACCTATTTTATATGCCTCAGTATGTGGCACGCTCCAAAACTTGCCTCATTTGCAGACATGTATACAAAAACCACGCACAAAACTGCCGACATATTTTAAAGGCATAACCCAAAAGTCAGTCTATAATTTTATTATTAGTATTTGCATATGTAAATAAAATGCATATAAATCTGTAATGGTATAATATTACTATACTTGGGGAGAACCGAAGAAACCAACAGGAAGCATACCTCACAAACAAGAGTGAGGATAAGATAATTGATTGTCACATTCCGATACAACGCCGCGGTAAAGCAAACAAGAAGCACGAGATGATGCACCAGGATTGAAGGAATCCAGCCACTGTGTAAATGGTGAAGCAACATATCCCATTGATCATAAGCAAAATAACCACATGAAATGCACAGAACTGGATAAGCCCATGGCCAAGAATGCTCAACTAACTCTGAGTGAGCAAGCATTGTACTCAAACTGCTTCTTGTATATTGATTGACTACAACAAAAATAACTGCAAAAAGACATTAGTGTTCTTAACGATTTAGCACAGGAAACATAACACTTATTATTACCAAATGCAATAAAATAATATTATTCAAGAACAATTAAAGCTTTGTTTTCACACCCGCTGTCATGTGCACTCCCTCCCTCACTTTATCCTGATCCCCATAAAATGGGGAGGCAACTCTTCTTAGGAGATTTAACAAGTCATTAGTCTCTTAGGCTCTTTGTAGTGCATGTCATGGAACGAGTGAATATACTCTTTGTGAAGGGGATGTGTTTGAAATATGCCTAACAAATTGTAAATATGATATGTACCAAAATAATTTATGCTTTATGAACTCCTTTTATAGGAATTATGAATTTTCTTTACTAATGATTAGTTCGGAATAATATGTTTAGTAGTTAATGACATAAATGTGTGTTAGGCACACTATACACAATTCTCATTGTAATAGCTAATAGTCTGTTTTAATTCTGTTAAGTCAGTTCAATGTCTGCTAAGCCTTCTCTCTTATAAACACAATGTACAGTTCATATTCATTTAATGAGAAAATCTGCTTTCATTCTATTTTCTCTCTGCTACATTTCTATTATGATATCAGAGCTCTAGCTAGATCCAGCCATGGTGATCTCTGAATCCACTTCATCCTCAGCTACTGGAAACTCTATTCTTCCAGTAACCTTCACACATCCACTTCCGATCAAATTGGATTCCAACAACTTTCTTTTTTGGAAGCATCACGTCAAATCTGTGCTTCGCGCACATAAACTCCTCAAATATGTTGAGAATCCTGACATACTAGAACAACTTACTGCTAGCGACAATGAAGAGATCAGGACAGTGAATGACACGTATGTTATCTGGGAGCAACAAGACCAGGTGTTGTTTTCGTGGCTTCTCGCATCACTTACCGAATCGCTCCATGCTCACATCATACACTGTCAACATTCGTATCAACTTTGGAGTGAAATTCATAAGTTCTTCCAGTCGAACATTGTCGCACGAGCTAGACAGCTTAAATCCGAGCTCTATAACACTGGCAAAGGTGATCGTTCAATCTCCGACTATCTTCTGTGTATTCAAACTATCGTTGATAGTCTTATGGCCATAGTTGAGCCTATTTCTACCATGGATCATATCAATGTTATCCTTGAAGGACTTCCAGAAGAATGTGAGGCTCTTGTGTCGTCCGTAACTACATGAAGCATTTTGGATCCAGTAACTATCTGTGAACTTGAATCCCTGCTATTACCCAAAAAAATCGATTGCGAAAACTTTTTGAATCATCACAAAAAACCTTGTTCCCTGCCAATGTTGCTCGCTTAGAAGCCTCAACCCAAATAATGATTCTGCAGCTCAAACAACTTTAGAAAATTCATCAGTTCATGTTGCTCACTTCACCAATTCCAGTGGTAATGCTCCCTGCAGAGGCAGAGGTCGTGGAGGTTTCATCAGAGGACGTGGTGGCCGTTTTGGAGGCCTTAACTCTGTTATTTGCCAGGTTTGTGGCAAATCTGGTCATAATGCACTGGTGTGCTATCTTTGCTATAACCCTGCATATACTACTTTCGTTTCTGGCACTCCAAATCAATTTCATTCACATCCACTTTATCCATATTCTTCCCATTCATCACCTATCCCAACTCAACCAAAGTTTTCTCCTACTAATTCTTCTCCAGAAATCTTCAATTGGGGCCAGCAATCTCATCCTAATCCTCATGCACCTACTGCAGCTTGGAGCCAGCAGTCTCACATTCTTGTGCCTAAAATATCTCATCCTAATCCTAATGCACCTACAGCAGCTTGGAGCCAGCTGTCTCACATTCGTGTGCCTACTGCAGCTTGGGCCTGTGCTAATTCCTCTGTGCTAGGACCTGCTCCACATTCTCAGAACTGGTTCCCAGATTCAGGAGCCACACGTCATGTTACTGCTGATCCTCTCAACCTTCAGCACAGTGAACCTGCTATTACAACTTCCTTTTCATCACCTTGTCAATCCTCTCAAACCCTTTTTCTTAATAATATTCTTCATGTTCTTTCCATAACCAAAAACTTGTTAAGTGTTAGTCAATTTGCCAAAGATAACAATGTCATTTTTGAATTTTATCTTCATGAATGTTTTATCAAATCTCAGGCTTCTAACAAGGTTCTGCTACATGGAATTCTTGGTGAAGATGGTCTTTACAAGTTTCAATCACTTCCAGCCCTTGGTTCCTGTCAATCTGCTGTCGTTAACAACTTTACTTCTGTGCCTTCTTTGAATAATACTATGTACCCCCCTTTCCTTTATGTCTACTTGTAATAACTCTCACTCATGTACTCCTATATCTTGTAATATGTGGCATTTGAGGATGACGACCTAGTCTCAAATGCCACATAGTTGTTATCCTAATAAAGGAGAGGGGGTACATAGTAATGAATGTGGCATTTAAAGGAAAGGGGGGTACATATTATTACGTACTATGTGTCATATTATTAGGAGTTATTTGACATCAAGTTGTTGAATAGACCAGTGATTTGAAACTGCAAGAGTAAGTAGAACTCGAATAGTAACAGGTTTAACAACCGGAGTCACAGAAGTAAAGTTATTAGGAGTAAAGGCAGGAGTAAAGTTATTAGGAGTGAAGTTGTTATCTTTATATTTAATTTTAGGGTTTTAATTAGAGTAGGACTTAATCATGTAAAGGCAGGATGCCTACGTATAATTCTTTTCAGCAATAATAAACATCATCGATCATTAGAAAATATTCCCAGAGAAGTCAAAGACTTTTCCTTCTCTCCTCCAGCCACGGGCAAGAAGAGGAGTAACACTAGCCGGCAGGTTCTGCACTTACCCGCGTACCCTGCCACCCCAAGTCGACCTTGGACTCGTTCTCAATCCCAAAACCCTAACAATTTGGTATCAGATCGATCAAGATCCATGGCGCCACCGCAAGATGATTTAGCCACTATGATGAAGGAGTTCATGGAGGCTATGACTGCTAAGATAACCGCCATAGAAGGGTAGATTGCCGCTCTATCTCTGGCAGTCCACAAACGGGATTCCAAATCAACATAAACATGTGACGAGCAAGATGATAACAGAGTGATATCACACAACACCTGCCACAGTATGCGAAGATGGAACTTCCTGTGTTTGATGGCACCTACGACCCTACCAGTTGGTTAAAAAGGTGAGAAATTCTTCTTGAACCAAGAAACTCCTAGTGCTGCAAAGATGAATGTGGTCTCATTCCATTTGATAGATGATGCACAAATGTGGTTCGATCAGATGATAGGGGAAGAAGGAGAAGTCAACTAGGAGAGGTTTAAATAACTCTGTCTGGAGCGCTTTGGGCCCCCTTTAAGTTATAACCCGATTGCAGATCTGAAACTTCTGATGCAGGTCAGATCAATTGATGAGTATTGTGCCCAATTTCAGAAGGCCTTAGCAAGAACTTCATGAATACAGTCCAACCATCAGATTGCCTTGTTTGTCGCTGGTCTCCATCCTCACTTACGGGCTGATGTGGAGATAGCAAAACCATGCAAACTGGGTTACGCAATGAACCTTGCACGGACATTGGAAGCAAGACAAACACTGACACTTGCACCTGTAAAAGTCTCGAGTACTACAAGGGCATGACAAACGCTCATGACAACAAGGGCAGGGAATCCAATTGTTAAGCGGCCTACGGAAGATGAAATGGCAGAAAGATGAGCAAAAGGGCTATGTCATAATTGTGAAGAACAGTGGAAGTTGAATCACCTATGCAAAAAGCTTTTCTTGATCAAGATAGAAGATGAGTAGGAAGAAGCTGAAGACTTCACAGACCTGGAGTTGTCTGCCAACGCTATAAGTGGAACTATTAGTTCAATGGCAAGGCAGTACACTAGTTAAGGCCATTTAGGAGCTGTTTGAGAATTTTGTCGTTTATCCAATCCTAAATTCAAGTACAGCCTAAATAAGCTTTTATCCAAAACTTATTGTAATTGTAGTTTCTCAAGAATCAAAAGGCGTTGGATGCTAGTCGGGCACTAGCCCAACGCCTAGGCGGGGACTAGTCGAAGATATAAAAATTACATTTTTATCAATATTTTTGCATGAATATGATAAGTAATACTCTGTATTATGTTTGTGTATGTTTATACATATATAAGGGGTGGGAAAATATACCGAAATTTCGGTATACCGGCTATACCGTACCGAAAAATACTGAATTTACCGAACTTTTCGGTATACCGAAAAATTCGGTATGGTATGATACCATACCGGGTCACTCCGGTACGGTAACGGTATGCAGTTCTTAAATTTTCGGTATTTCAGTATATACCGAAATACCGTTAATTTTCGGTAAGGTACGGTATATACCTAAATACCGAATTAGATTTTGTAAATTATTAGGCTCTACATACGGTGTCCATACTCCATAGTCCATAACTCCATACCCATTAAAGGAAATTGGTAAATTATAAGGCCCAAATTTTTAAAAACTCATCGTAATACTACACGTCTTCTTCATTCTATCAAATTGAGACCAAATCCCTAACCAAGCAGTTTAGCTTATCCGGTTCTCCCAACTTCCCAAGTGACCGAAGCTGCGAACGACGAGGCTGTGGAAGAAGAAGCTGTGGACGAGTGACGAGCACTCAAGAACGGCAGAAGACCTCGAAGACGCATAAGGAGCTGCGGTTTTGGGTACAGGTACTGAGGTACATCAGTACATGGGTCTCCCTGCAGGGACGCCTCGTCGGATCCGAGGAAGCAAGTTCAGCTAGGGCTATCGGCGGTGGGTTGAGTCCAGAAGAAGCTCAGGCTTGGGACCTTTTCACTCCCATTCAACGGGTTCTTGTCGTTGCTATTATTGCCGTGGCCACTGCTAATTCGAAGAAAAATAAACGCATGTCTCTCCTTGAGAAGTCTGGTCAACTAAGGGTTAGTGTTTCTTCTCTTAACTTACTTCGCATGTCTTTCCAGTTGCTATTATTAATGTGTTTATTCTCTTAACTTACTTCGTTTAGCAAATGCATTCCTAAACCCTAAAAATGTCATTTTTAAAGAAGAGTCATTGTGGATTTGACTTTTAATTTAGGAGTTTGTTTAGTAAGTGATTCGTTATTATAGCTAATAAACATGTATTTTTTTTCCAGTTGTATCTTCTTTTGAAGTACATATACAGAGAGTACTAGAAATCTAAAAACTTTTGTATCTTCTTTCCAGTTGCACTCTCTGGACTGGCAAGAATAAAACTTTCTGCCCCTATTGTTTGCAGTATTGGCAGTTCGTAGAGCACATAGAGCACCACATGAGATACAAGGAACAGATGCTTCTCCTATAAAAAAAAATGAAAGAATGTTAGATATTTTGAGCCTCTGCTCATCATTCTGCTCAACTAAATTTGACAATTTTGTATTATTAATTTTTACTACATTTTTGTATTATTATTATTATAAATAAAAAAAGATCTAGCTGGGCAAACAAACCATTTTGTCTGTTAACGTCACTGGCAGGTTGGGCTGAATGTGAGCGAGATGACTGTGAGGGACAGTTATTTGAAGAATGCCCTGTTTGCCTACAGTGTAAACAAGCACCCTGAGATTGACCCGGCTATAGAAAAGGGTGCTGTGACTTTATTAATTGACCCATTTGTTTGTAATTTTATTAACTGAGTCACATTGAACTAAACTCTGCTCTGGATAACTGAGATGGAGTGGGAAAGTTAGGTGCTTTTAAGGCTTCTTTACTTTTGTTTTTAAAAGGCAGAAAATGAATATGATTCAAGTGCTGTGACTTCATATATTTCAAAGGCAGAATTGATTAACATGATGTTTGTTACATTTTCAGCATTGCTAATGGTGGAGGCATTAGTGTGCACTAATGATTGGTTAAGAGCGGAGGAGTTCAACTTTTATAAAGATCCAAGTGATGAAGACCTTGAGTTGTATAAACAAATTGAAGAAATGGAAAAATGTAAGTCCTTATTTAATTAAATGTATACATAAATTATTATTTTGTTTATCTTATGGTTTTTGTATGCTTATTTTTGCAGCTGCAAATGCTATTTAGCACTGGTCATGCCCTCAAATACACTGGGATAGAGCTTAAGACAACACAGTACGCTTCTATTGTCATCTTGTATTGTTTTTCTTTGATTAACTTCTGGTCATGACTGATATGCAGTGATTATTGTGAGTGATTCTAGCCTTCTTATCTTGGTATGACATCACATTCTTTTTCTCCCTTAATGTTTTAATCAACTGTCAAAAATTTTACTTTGTTTCCCTCTACTGGCTTGTTTACAGACTCATTCAAAGAGGGCAGTTCAGGGAAAGAGAATTCCCCGGCTGAAATTCCAATGTATGAATGTGATGAGCCCATGACTTATATTGGAACACTCCGTGGTCTTGATTTTCTATTAGCTGCTAGTCATGTGATGAGCCCATGACTTATACAGACTATTGAATGTTGTTATTAATATAAATTATGTTATTTATTATTACTTGTTCCTTACACAATTGTCCAACTGTTACCGATTGTTAATGGCAAAGCAGTAATACATATGCGTTATTTTCACTGTCTTGTTTACTTCAGTGTTAAGAACTTAAGATGCAAGCAGCTAACTTATACGGAACTGATTTATTTTCATTTCAGGAATGAAGGAGGAATGGGGGAGTGAAGTTTTAGCCTACTTATCTTTTGGAGCTGCAACAAGCATTCAATGATTTGTTATTACAAACATTAATTATCATTGATTTATGTGGGATAACTTTTCTAATTTTCATTATGGATCGTGTTGAGACTTGAAATATTAGCGCATAATTTTAGTATTTCTACTTTGGATTAAATATTGTGTTTTAGTTTTTGTATAAGCTTATGTAATTGATGTCGTATACTACTTTTGACATATTAAAATCAGATTTTTTGGATGTTCTGTAGGCCTTTTATGCCAATGCTTTCTACGGAATCATCTTACAAGTTTAGTGTTGTGAATTTTTGGTATAAAACGGTATGGGTCACATACCGTACCGAAATTTCGGTATACCGAAATTCGGTATACCGAAATATTCGGTATGGTAACGGTATGACTTTTACAAATACCGGTATTTCGGTACAGTAAGCGGTATGGCGTGAAAATTTCGGTATGCCATACCGAACCAGCCCTATACATATATACACATTAACATACATGAATGACAAAATCGTCGCATTTAGTAATATATTATAACTAATAATTTAGCTTCATCATGTATAAATATTAAATACTCCGTATTAAATAATAATACTACGTAAAATTTAAGAATATATACAAACATATACTTCATATAGTTTTAATCTTAATCAACAAGTAACTTTCTTCATATTTGTGACTTAAGTGAACTTAGAAAAATAAAATAAAATAAAAAGTGAACAAATGTTCAATGAATAAAGACATCATGTCATAGGCATCCAGACGTCGTCTGAGCGGGCAACTAAAGGCCCGCCTACCAAAATGGGGGCGCCCGGGCAACCTTGAGCAGCGGGACTAGCCAGGCGCCCAGGGGGTTTTAGAACAGTGATTACAACCGAATAGCAAGCCATCCTTGCTCATTTCTCCACTAGGTCAAGTTAGCAGTTAAAGAAGGGAAAAGGTGCAAATAGGCCCATGTACTAACCAAAAAAGGTCAAATAAGCCCTTATTTAGGAGACTCTGTCCGGCCGTCGCCATTTGGGTTGGTTCCCGGTGGAATTTTTTGATGAAATTTTTTGAGCATCTTATTCATTAAGTCTAGTTTACTCATACCAATTTTTAGCTAAAAATTCAATCGGGAAGGAATTCAAATGAATTCTTGAAAATAACTGCACAGTTAGAAGCGCAGTTATCTTCAAGAATTCATTTGAATGTCTTCCCGATTGAAGTTTTAACTGAAATTTGATATGAGTAAACTAGACTTGATGAATAAGATGCTTAAAAATTTTCATCAAAAAATTCCATCGGGAACCACCCCAAATGACGACGACCGGACAGAACCTCCTAAATAAGGGCTTATTTGACCTTTTTTGGTTAGTACATGAGCCTATTTGCACCTTTTCCCGTTAAAGAATTACTCCGTATTATAAATATGAAGAGAGAGGCAAAGGCGAACCTGAGACAGAGGTGAGGGAAGAGTGAAGAAGAGATACGGAGGTATTGACGACAAGAGGGTCTCGACTGAGGCAACCGCGGATGAGCCAATTGGCGGATTGGTAGAAACAAAAGCCCGCTAGAATGGGGGACAGCTGCGTCCGCTGGTTCAAGCAAATCTCGTACAGCAGCCACACGGCCCACGCCAACAGCGTCACCCTAAAGAATGCCCCAGACATGCTATGGCTTTTTTCACCGACAACCCTGCCCGTCCTCGCCATATCTTCTCCGTTTGACGTTTCTTTCAGACTAGCAAATTCTGAAAAAATTTACTTCATCAATTTTGGGGATTGCTTAATGTAATAACCTTCCTTACACTAATTTACCTTCTTAATTAAACTTCCTGCCTTCCCCATCATATCATACTTTAGTTTCCCACATTTAATCACGTATTATCAAATTGACATTTTTAATCATTCTACTATGATTTTGACACAATAAGTAGAAGACTAAAAATGTCACTATTATAATCATTGAAGGACCAAAAGTGTCACTTTTATTAAAGTCGGAGGACTAAATATGGAAATTTTCAAAGACGGGTACCAAAAGTATCTTTCGCGCACTAGTTGAAGGACTAAAAGTGAAAAAATCAAAGTCGAGTAACAAAATTGTCAGTGACATAATAGTCGGAGGACTAAAAATGGCAAAAATTATGCCGCACTTATTGAATGACCTGCAAAATTGAATCTAACAAAATGTGTTGCTATGTGATAATAAATTGTTTTTTATAAAATGTTAAGGAGTATAACTCTTTCAACTGCGAACATTTACAAAAAAAATATCAAATTAAAGATTTTTTATGATATTTGATATGACATCAATATTGAATGTGTAAAATTTTGTAAAAAATACTTTTATTTTGGTACCATTTATTTAAGCCTGATTCGGTAAACGTCTGGTGGATGTGTATATTATTAAGGGATTTGCAATAAATATTACTAAAATGAAGTCAACTTTAAAAAACATGACAGCTATTTAATATTTTAAAAAAATGTGATTAACAAGGTCACATATTTGAAAAAACGGTACAATGGAGTGAGTAAGGTATGAACTAAGTTCATGGACGCCTTGTACAATCGAGTGAGTGTGACTTGCGGGTGATGTCACTTGATTGTACGGCGGTTGCAGACACGCCTAGATGCAGTCTGGGACGTGGCAATTAAGTGGTATCAGAGTCATCTCAGTTTTCTAAACTATGTAATCAGCCTCTCACAAGAGTTTTTACAAAAAGAGTTTACCGAAAACCATGAACAATGTATTTTGATGCTTCTAGGATTATTGGTACCCAAGTTGCAAGGTCTCTAGTTGTTAAGACTGTAATACCCAAGATTAATATAAAAGGATTAATAGTACTACCCACACCAACATAGGTGCATCTCCTTTTAAGGGAGCTCATCACCCAAGAACTACAAAGTTAAGCGTGCTTGCACGGGAGTAGTCTTGGAATGGGTGACTCCGTGGGAAGTTTCTCAGAGCGCGCACGAATAAGGACAAAGTGTGCGGTAAAGGCTTGTGGTGGTTTGTGAGGACAGTGCTAGAGGCCCCGCGTAACTACCTCGGGTCCTGCGGGGCCGGGGTGTTACAAAGACGGTACCATTAACAATTGGTATAGCGGTGATTTGAGCCAATGAGTGTCTATAGTACTATTCCGTCAATTGACATTCATAGGAGTCTAACGACTCATCCAAACTTTCTTTCAGAAATGGAGGGTAGACGCATGGCAACAAGAAACAACCCTACCGGTAGCCTTCGTTGGAGCTAGCCGGGTTGGATCACAAGCCTCTAGGGTAAGAGGTGGAAGTCGGGGGCATCGAGCCCAAATAGTGAGTAATGGCCATGTGAGCTCGGTGTTTCGATACAGACACCGGGGAGGATGACTCGACCTATGTTCCTGAGACGGGACATGTAGAGACCCCATACGATGGGGATGATTTACATACCAATGATGATGAGAGTGATGCCCGTTTTGCTCAAATGGGAGAGGTACTCGAGTGGTACCTAAATGCTGTAATTGTTCTAAACGGCATTATTGGAGATGTAATAAACCATCGAGGTGTTTCAAGTGCGGGAATACGGGTCATATGAAAGCAAAATGTCCGCAGTTGGGACAAAGAAGGGCATCAGGAGCCAGAGGAGGGCCCACAACGGGGAGGAACCATGATGGGCCATCACACACTAGCACAGGGAGAGGCGGCGCAACGGCAAAAAATGTCGTGTCCGTCCACCAAGGCGGGACCCAGGCAAGGGTCTACGCAATGACTGAGACCGATGTTCGGGCTAACCCCGACTTTGTTGCAGCCTTGCAGGTAACCCCTTATCAACACTTGTATTTTCATGTTTGTAAGTGTTAAAAGCGTTAGGGAGCATGTACGGGCCAGTCGACGTCGTTACCGGCCCAATTTTTAGCAAAGAACAAAGAAATAGTTGTCCAAGGGTGAATCGGCGTCAGTCAGGGTTTGAATTGGCGCCGGTCTAATGTAAAACGTGAATTTCTAAAGGTGGAAGAGGGTGAACCGACGTCTTTCTAATCCATAACCGGCGCCGGCCCGGTTCAAATTTTGGGATTTTTCAAGTTCCAGAGCGTGAATCGACGCCGATCCAGTGTAATTTTAACCGAAAAGTTTCGTTTAGGCTAATTTCGATATGGTACGTTGGGTAGTGTGTCTTACATGGCTTGTATATGTAGGAACGGTAGAGATTAATGGGAGAAACGCAAGAATTCTCATTAATGCTGGGGCACACGTTCATTCGTGAGTGAAGCGTTTGCCGAAGGTTTAGACGTGCCATTGATGGCGATGATGCAACCCTTGTTGGTGTTTACACCGTTAGGAGACGGCGTGGAGAGGAAACACTATTATACTTCGTGTGAGAGAGAAGTGACGGGTCAACCCTTGACTTGTGACTTCGTACCTCTAAGTATGTTGGAATTTGATGCAATCCCAGAAATGAATTAGTTTGAGAAACATCATGCTTGAGTAGATTGCTACGCCAAAGTTTTGGAACTCGAGGATGATGAGGGAAACGCATTACGTTTAGAGGGAGATCGGGGAAGATCTCAAAGTTGTATCATATCCGTGATGAGGGCAACACTCTTCTACGAGGTGGGTTATACATCACACCCCATGATCACAAGAAGTCAATCAAGATATCCTCAACATGAAGACGACTACTGCATTTACCCTGTTGATGCGACCCTGTTTATCTTGTTGTGGCCCTCCGACGTTACATGTCTTCTTGCCCCGGAAGCAAAGACCTATCAACACCATCTCCGAAAGGCAATTCAATTTCATAACAGATATAACAGGTCCATTTCATCTATAGTCGGGATCCCCTTTAAGAACTTCAACTGTTAAATTCTTGTAATTTGTTACTCCTGCTTTTGTTTGTACGTTTTTATCTTGTAACCTCAACTTTCACTTTTCTTAATAAATTTGGGTAGTGTTCCCTAGCACTCCCGCCACCACGTGTGGTTAACTTCGGGACAAAAAAAATCATATCCGTGATGAGGGCATGGAAGATGATGAAGAAGGGATGTCATGCTTACCTTGCTTACATGGTGGATGAGACAAAGAAAAAGGTTGACATCAAAGATGTACGTGTCGTGTGCAAGTATCCGAATGACTTTCTGTAAGGAATAAATGTAATTAGATTTTGATGATGCTAGGCTAAGTTAGATTAGAACTTTAAAGTACCCCTTATAGAAATTTTGTATTAGAATTTTCAATTGTAAGTATTAGCATAGTCGTCGGATCAGAGATCCTCTTGATACTTCAGATCAGAACTGCTAGGAGAACTGCTCCATGAGAGTTGCTCATCAGAGAAGCATCAGAGCTGCTCATCAGGGAAGCAGCAGAACTACCAAGCAGAGCTGCTCATCAGAGAACCATCAGAGTTCGATGTAAAGCTCGATCAGAACTCAACTTCAGAGGAGTATCAGAGTTCCCATATCTAAGTTCATCAGAATCCAAGGTCAGAATGCCATCAGAGAATCTCATCAGACCTGGATAGACACTTAGAAGATTTCGAAGC